GTCCGAGGGGGAGCGAGCTGAGGCTCTGTCGAAAACTTGCGCCGCAATAGCAAGCAGCATAATCCTCCGCGTCTTCCCCGTTCTAGTCCTCGTCTTTTGCCTCCTCCTTCTCCTCCTCCTCCTCCTCCTCCTCCTCCTCCTCCTCCTCCTCCTCTTCCTCCTCCTCCTCCTACCTCCTCCCTGTCCTCCGCCTTCCGCCTCCTCCTTCTTCTCCTCCTCCTCCTTCTCCTCCTCCTCATCCTCCTCTTCCTCCTCCTCCTCCTCCTACTCTTTCTCTTCTATTTGCTTCTCCTGCTCGTTGTCCTTCTCATCGTCCTCGTCCGCATCCTCGTCCTAATCGCCACCACCCACCTTCTTCTCCTCTTGCTCCTCCAGTCTTCCTCTCCCTGGCACCGCTCCATCACTTCCCCCCCCTCCTCGCCCTCGTAGGTCGTAGCCCCCCTCCTCCCCCTCTTTCTTCTCCCCCTCGTTCCCCTCCTCCTCCTCGACGCCTCCTCTCCCTATCCTCCCACCCCTGCTTCCCCCTCCTCCTCCTCCTCCTCCTTCTCCTCCTCCTCCTCCTCCTCCTCCCTTCCCCTCCCCGTCCCCGTCCCCGTCCCCCTCCGACGACAACAACGACGACGACGACTATGACGACTATGACGACGACCACGACCACGACCACGGCCACGACCATGACGACGACGGCGGAGACGACGACAACGATGACGACGACGACCACGACGACGACGACGACGACCACGACGACGACTACCACGACGAGGACTATCACGACGACGACCACCATGACCACGACCACCACGACGACGACGACGACGGCGGCGACGACCACGACCACGACCACGACGGCGACGACCACGACGGCGACGACGACCACGACGACGTGCGTGCATGCTGCTACGACCAACCGCTTCACCCTCTTTCCCCGGGAGACCTGAGAGCAGTCTGCTACTCGAGCTATGATTGAACAACTAGTTCCCTACCTAGGCTCTGCCTAGAGGGTTCTCACTCTCTTTCTTACAGGGGCCGGGCAGTGTTCCTCGCCCCGGGCGGTTCCCCCGGTACCCGCCCCGCGGTTCCCCCAGTTGCGCCCCCGTACCTTAGCTTTGCGTATCTCATCTTAGCTTAGCTCAGCTTAGCTTCATCTTAGCTTCGCGTAGCTGTAGCTTAGCTTAGCTTAGCTTAGCATATCGTAGCATAGCCCGTCATATCATAGCATAGCGCAGCACAGCATAGCATAGCATAGCGCAGCATAGCACAGCATACTATAGCCTAGCAAAACATAGCGCAGCCTAGCGTAGCGTAGCATCGCGCAGCATAGCATAGCATAGCATAGCATAGTGCAGCATGGTATACCATAGCAGCAAAGCAAAGGCAAAGCAACAGCAACAACAACAACGCAAAGCACAAGCAACGCGGAAAGCAATGCGAACTTGTAGATGTAGATGTAGATGAATATGTAGGTGTAGATGTGGATGTAGGTGTAGATGTAGATGTAGGTGTAACTGTAGATGTATATGTAGATGTGAGTCTCGCTGTTGATGTTGATGTAGATGTAGATGCAGGTGTAGATGTAAATGTAGCTGTCGGTGTAGATGTAGATGTTGCTTTCCTGAATGCTCCAACCCAGGTAGGGTCGCACTGGGATACTTTCACCCTGTAATCACTTTCTGCTATGTGGAACAATCTCTGGCCTGAATCTCGAGATTTAGACTGAGTTCAGGGCTCTATTTATTTGTACACGCGGGCACAACTACTGGTTTTGGCCTTGAATTCTGAAACACGCGAACTTGGGCAATGCCCGCTCGAAACATTGAGATGGTTCTACATTCTGCTGCCGTCACGCGGTTCTGATGTTAACATTCCATATTCGAGGCAGCTGAGGGCTCTCGCCTAGCAATTGATTCAGCAGCATCGAGCGCGCCAGCCTATAGACTCGCGGGCTACGGGCGTTCTTCTTTCAAGGCGTCTGGACGACGACGACGACCACCACGACGACGACGATGGACCCGACGACGACGACGACCACTACGACGACGACACCGACGACGACCACGACGACGATCACGACTACGATGACGACGACGCCGACTACGACGACGACCACGACTACGACGACGACGACCGCGACCATCACGGCGCCCACGACCACGACCACGACAACAACCACGACGACGACGACCACGACGACGACCACGACCACGACGACGACGACCACGACCACGACGACCACGACCAGGACGACGACGACCACGACCACGGCCACGATGACGACGACGACGACCACGATGACGACGACGACGACGACCACGTCGACGACGACAACGACAACCACGACCACGAACACGACGACGATGTCGACCACGACGACGACGACCACGACCACGACGACCACGACCACGACCAGGATGACGACGACCACGACCACGACCACGACGACGACCACGACCACGGCCACGATGACCACGACAACGACCACGACGACGACAACACCGACGACAACGAACGACGACAACGGCGACCACGACGACGACGACCACGACCACGAAGACGACCACGACGACCACGATGACCACCACGACCTCGACCACGACCACACTGACGACGACAATCACGAACACGACGGCGACCACGACCACGACAAAGACCACGAACACGACGACGATGACGACCACGACCACGACCGCGACCACGACGACGACGACCAGAACCACAACGACGACGACGACCACGACGACGACGACCACGACGAAGACCACGACCACGACCATGACGATCACGACGACGACCACGACCACGACGACGACGACGACCACGACCACGACGACGACCACGACCACGACCACGACGAAGACCACGACCACGAAGACGACCGCGACGACCACGACGACGACGACCACGACGACGACGACGACAGCGACGACGACGACAACCACGACGACGACGATGACGACGACCACGACCACGTCGACGACGGCAACGACGACCATGACCACGACAACGGCGACGACGACCACGACCACGGCGACGACGACGACGTTGACGACCACGACGACGACGACCACGACGACGACCACGGCCACGACGACGACGACGACGACCACGACGACGACGACGACGGCGGCGACGACGGCGACCTCGACGACAAACACGACGACGACGACCACAACCACGACGACGACGACGACGACAACGACGACGACGACAGCGACCGCGACCGCGACCACGACCACGACGACGACCACCACAACGACCGCGACCACGTCCACGACGACGACGACCACGCCCACGACCACGACGACGGCGACGACGACAACACCGACGACGGCGACGAGGACGACGACGACCACGGCGACCACGACGACGACGACGACCACGACGACCACGACGACCACGACCTTGACGACGACCACGACGACGACGACCAGGACCTCGACAACGACGACGACGACCACGACGACGCCGACGACGACGACGGCGACGTCGACGACGCCAACGACCACGACGACGACCATGACCACGTCGACGACGACGACCACGGCCACGACGACGACCACGACGACGACGGCCACGACGACGACGCCCACGACGACGACGACCATGACGATCACGACGACGACGACGATCACGTCCACGACGACGATCACAACGGCGAGGACCACGACCACGACGCCGACGACGACCACGACCACGACGACGACAACGACCACGACCACACCGACGACGACGACGACGACGACCACGACCACAACGACCACGACTACGACGACGAGCACGATCACGACGACGACGACCATGACCACGACCACGACACCGACCAGGACGACGATGACGGCGACGACCACCACGACCACGACGACGACAACCACGACGACGCCAACGACCACGACCACAACAACGGCCACGACGACGACGACGCCCGCGACCACGACGACAACCACGACCTCGACCTCGACCATGACGATGACGAACATGGCAACGACAACGACCACGACGACGACCACGGCCCCGGCCATGACCTCGACGACCACGACGACGACGACGACCACGACGACGACGACACCCACGACGACGACCACGACGACGACGACCTCGACCACGACGACGGCCACGATGACGACGACGACGACCACGACGACGACAATCACGACCACGACGGCGACGATCATCAAACGGCGACGACCACGACCACAACGACGACCACGACCACGACGACCACGACCACGACTACGACCACGACCACGACGACGACGACGCCAACGACCACTACCACACCGACGACAACGAACGACCACTACCACACCGACGACCACGACTACAACAACGGCGACGACGACCACGACAACGACCATGACGACCACCACGACGACGACGACCACGACCACGACGACAACGAACAGTACCACGACGACGACGACGGCGGCGACGACGACGGCGGCGACCACGAGGACGACGAGGACCACGACCACGACGACGACGACCGCGACGACCGCGACGAACACGACGACGACAACAACGACGACGACGACCACAACCACGACCACGACGACGACCACGACCACGACGACGACGACGACGACCATGACCAGTTCGACGACCACGACGACCACGACCACGACAACGACGACGACGACCACGACGACGACGACGACGACAACAACAACCACGACGACGACGACGACCACCACGACGACGACGACGACCACGACGGCGACGACGACCACGACTACGACCACGACGACGACTACGACCACGACGACGAGCACGGCCACGACGACGACCACGACCACGATCACGACCACGACGTCGACGACGACGGCCACGCCCACGACCACGACGACCACGACCATGACCACGACGACCACGCCGACGACGAGGACGACGACGACGTCCACGACTACGACCACACCGACGTCGACGACGACGACGACCACGACGACGACCACGACCGCGACGACGACGACCACGACGACCGCTTGCGCCCCTGCTCGGAGCCCCGCCTCGCGCCGCACTCGGGGCAGTCCCAGTCGCCCGGTCGGCCCTCGCCTCTGCAGCGGTCGAGGGGGCGGGGACGCGCGGGCGGAGAGGAGTAATGATGAAGGAAGGAGTAAGGCGAGTGAGGAGGAGGGGAAGGAGAGGGGGAGGAGGGGAGGGATAGGAGGAAGGAGGAGGGGAGGGATAGGAGGAAGGAGGAGGGGAGGAGTAAGGGAGGGGAGGGGGGGGAGTAAGGAGAAGGGGGAGGGAGAGGGGAAGGAGGGGAGGGAGAGGAGGAGTAAGGAGGGGAGGGGATTGGGAGGAGGGGAGGGAGAGGAGTAAGGGAGGAGGTGAGGAGTAATGGAGGGGAGGGAGAGGAGTGAAGAGGAGGGGAGGGGGAGCGGGAGGAGAGAAGGGCAAGGAGTAAGGAGGGGAGGAGGGGGAGGGGGAGGAGGAGGGGAGGAAGAGGAGTAAGGAGGAGTGGAGGGAGAGGGAGGAGTGGGGCGGGGCGCGCCAGGAGGGAGGAGGAGCAAGAAAGGGGAGTCCTCTTCCCTGGATCCTCCTGAATCTTCCTGCTGCCTCCTGAATCTTCCTGCTGCTCTTCCTCCTCCTCCTCCTCCTCCTCCTCCTTCTGCTCCTCCTCCTCTTCCTCAACCCTCCCTCCTCCTCCTCGATGCGCGACTCACGGTCCTTTTCATCCTCCTCCTCGTTTTCCTCCTCCTCGTCCTCCTCGATCTTCCATCGAATATGGAGAGGGCGGGGCGGGGGGATGAGCGAAGATAATACAGAAACTATTTCATATACAAGACAGGTGGTGAGGAGGAGGGCCACGTACACAAACCAATCTTTCGGGGGTCCGCGCGGATGTCTTGGGTCTGAGCTGGGACCCCCTCCTTGGCGCGCGAAGCGCGCCAGCGGCGGCGCCAGCGGCGGCGCTAGAAGCGCCGCCAGGAGTGCCCAGTGCCGATCCAAGAACTCCGCGCGGACCTCCGAATGTGTATGTGTGTGGAGATTTGTCTCCCTGGGGAATCGGGGGCGTGGGGGGGGGGGGGGGGGAGAGGGGCGTGGGGGGGGGGGGGGGGGAGAGGGGCAACGAACGCTGAGCGAGGGATGGGGCGGGAGAGCGAGGGGAGTGGGGCGGAAAAAGGAAGACGATGAGGATTTTCCTCCGCTACTTGAACATTTTTTGCATTTGAACATTGAATGGGAATTACTGCTGAGCCTGTATGGAAACGCTCGCGAGGCTCATTTCTGCAAACGCTGTCCAGTAAGCAGATGATGCCGCTGCTGCTGCATACGATGATGATGCTGATGCTGATGATGATGATGAGGAGGAGGATGATGATGATGATGCTGATGATGATGCTGCTGCTGCTGATGCTGCAGCTGCTGCTGCTGCTGCTGCTGCTGATGATGATGATGATGATGATGATGATGATGGTGTTGCTGGTGCTGCTGCTCAACATCGCCGTGCGGCCTGTGCAGAACGTCAGGCTTGAGTGACGGCAGGGCAGAATCACGCACTCCAAAAGACATATGCCTCGCTGTACTCGCATGTGTGTGTGTGCCCGCTCCACCAGTGGCAGGTCGGGCACCGGCCGCCAGGCATGTTCATCTTTCGCCCAGACCCTGCGGACCCAGACGCCCAGTCGACGGCGCATGGCCTTCCGCCTTTCGACGATTCGATAAACGCTTTCCAGTCCATTCGATGGAACGCCAACTGGTGCTGTGAGCGATGACTGGTCGACCTATGGAACGCCCGTCCCTCCGATGTGGTCGAAATCCTAAGCAGCGACAGCATCCAGGTCTACCCGAGCCCCCTGCCGAGGCGACCTAGGCCACCCCCACCCTCGGTGCCCACAGGAAGCCCGCTCTTGGGCAAGCCCCCTGCACCAGCGAGGAGTATCTACTTCCTCACGGACGCGCGCGACCAAGAAAGGATGCAAGAAGCACTCGACATGGACACGAACCCCCTAACGCTCTGGAGAGACGACCAGCCAGCCGACGCAGCCAGCGCCTCAGGCAGACTGCCACTCGGCAAGCCCGAACGAACAAAACCTGCCGTGCAGTCTGCGTTGAGGGGACGCGACCGCGCCAACCCCCCCCGACCACGGCCAGGCCGACGGCCAGAGCAGCGCCGTGCACTCCACAGCGCGCAGCCGCATGCTCACCCCAGGACCAGCCGCACGCGACGATCGTGCAACCAGGGCCGAGGACCGCGGCCAACCCTCGTCTCGTGGGTCTGGCCACAGAGGCCAGCGCGCCCGCAGCCGGTGGGTCTCTCGCGGCCCGCAGCCCAGAGGCGTCACTCCCAACCACCGGGGGGCGCTGGCCGGCAGCACTCGCACGCAGGGATGCCCACCCCAACACCTACCAGCAGAGCAAGGGACGGCGGAAGCGCCCTAGGAGCGAGCAGGGCACCCGCCACCGACAGGGCACAGACCGCACACCGCCGCTTGGCAGAGGACGGCAGCGAGATGGCGCAGCAGGCCCAAGGAACCCCCGCCTGTCGCAGGACCGCAGCAAGCGCAGCACCCTATAGCCGCGGCCCCACCGCAGGTGGAGCGACGAGCTCCCGCCAGCGGGCGCCGAAGCGCCCCCCCCACCGCGCGGCGGGCCCCGCGATCCCGCGGGCCTGGACAACAGCCCTACCTGCCCTCTGCCCCACCCCCCCCATGCCCAGGCAAGCAGCTTCCGCCGCCTCCCTGGACGACGTGGAATTCGGCGACCTAGTGGACCTAGTGCAGATCGCAAGGGCCAATTACGGCCCGGCAATCAATCAACCACCACTGGATCAACTACTGCACGCGCCATGCGCCTTCGTAACATGCGCATTCGTAACACGTGTCCCCAACATCTTCACGGATGTAGGGCGGGCCCTTCTCTCGCCCTGGCGCCGCGCGCACTCGCCAACACAAACGCAACATCTGAAGCGAAGCGTCGCTTGGCCTGCCCCAGAGATTGCGATGGCACGTTCCAGCTGCAGGCGTTTTCATGCTTTACTCTGGATGCCCTGGGCCGCTGTCTCATACTGCTGGTCGCTGACAGGCCACGGGCGCCCGAAGATGGTGAAATCGGTGTTGTTCTCGCGCGCGGCTTCTCGCATGGGCCTCTCCGGGCGGATGGCGGCGCCGCCTCTTCTGAGGCAGTGTCGCGAGCGCAGCGCGGGGAAATGCGCGGCGCCCCCCAGCCCCACCCCCGCCCTCTTCGCACGGGCCGCCCGTGCCGCCCCGCGCACTTCTGGGGGGGGCGCGGTTGGGGGGCCAGGGCGGGGCCGGGGAAGCGGCACCTCCTGCTGTAACATTCTAACTCCTTACGGGCCAGCGCGCCTGCACCCGTGAACACACAAGACCTGCGGGTGCCTGCGCCAGCGCCGAGATGCCCCAGGCCAGCGCCCCGTGCTTTGACCAGTTCGCGGTGCCTCCACATCGCGCACGCTGCCGCGAGCAGTGCCTGCGCCAACGAGAAGCAACGCTCGCGGTGCCTGCGCTGAAGCAGTGATGCCCGACGCGCGCTTGCACCCCGTGCTTTAGCGTGCCTGCGGGGCCGGCGCTTTGCCGTGCGCAGCACCTCCGCCTACAGGGCGGAGCGCCCGCGGCTCCTGTTCTGAGACAGTGGTGCCCAAGCCACGCTTGCACTCTATATGTCGCGACTTGCTGGCAGTGTCTGCTCGCGGACCTGCGCATTGCCCGCGGCCTTGGGGAGCAGCGCCCGCGGTGCCCGCGCGAGTACGATGATGTACAGATTGGGGCAGCGGGGATTGGAACCCACACTGCTTCGGATGTAATCGTTGCGGGCACGATGACGACGGCGACGACAGTGACGGCAATGTCGATGACTTAACGCTCGCGGTCATGAGTGCGCGATCCTCTACGTTGCACCCCGTTGCGCGTTTCCCCCGCCAATGCGTCGTCCGTGCTCTGCCGGGCTCACAGGGTGAAGGGGATCGCATGCCCTGCCACGAAACAGCCATACCGACGAAGGGCGGGCACACTTCAAGCTGTGAGAGCATGGACTAAGCGCCACGCGTATGGTGAAGGGGATCGCATGCTCTGCAACGAAACAGCCATACCGACGAAGGGCGGGCACACTTCAAGCTGTGCGAGCACGGACTGAGCGCCACGCGCATTCGACCAGCACTTCCCCACACCTGCGCGGATGGAGGCCGGCTCGGTTTCCAAAAGGGGCTCCCGCCCCATGGCCGCTCGCGCTCGTCCAGATACAACTCCAGACCTGCACGGGCGGAGGGCGGGTTCCGTAGATCGTATCATGGAGCTGCCGCTTGGGACGGCCCTGCAGATTTGGCGGCCAAGCGCTCAAGTGCGACAGCTGGCTCCTTTTTAGGAGCAGGGCTCCCCCTTGAGACCTCCCCACAGTAGATTACACGTCGTTCATTTCTAATCGTGCTCGTTTCTAATGGTGCTCGTTTCTGATTGTTCCTGGCCCCCTAGGTGGCCAGGAAGAGGCCGAGGATAGAACAATTAGACATGAAAGGATCTTGGCCCCCCAAAAATCAAAGAACTTTCGAATACTTAGGGATGAACAATGTGTATGTTACCGACGCTCGACGGTTTAGTTAACCAGCAACAGCTGCACGGAAAACGCGGGAAGGCAGCCTCGCTCCAGACAAGGCCCGGCAACATGCACTTCCTGAGCCTGGCTCTGGCATGCATGGCAGGCCCATGGAGAGAGTGCGCGCTGCAAAGGGGCATTGCCTGCAATGAAAAGGAGTGCTTGTGGGGACCTCCTCCTCCTCCTGCTCCTGCTCCTCCTCCTCCTCCTCCTCCTCCTCCTGCTCCTCCTCCCCCTCCCCCTCCTCCTCCCCTTCCTCCTCCTCCCCCTCCTCCTCCTCCTCCTCCTCCTCCTCCTCCTCCTCCTCCCCATCCTCCTCCTCCTCCTCCTCCTCCTCCTCCTCCTCGTGAGAAGCGGACTCGGGATGGAGGTTCACTGCAGCATCGCCGACGCATCCTCGGCTTGCCCTGGTCCTCCTGCTCCTGCTCCCTCCTCGCCCCTCGCTCCCTCCTCG